GGTGCGTTGGTGCGCACCCAGGATCTGAACCCGGGCCGCCAGCAGCGGAGCGGGCGCACTTAACCGCTAGGCCACAGGGGCGGCCCAGCTCACATACACTTAACCACCAAGTTAAATGGCCTCTGTAGAGACGGCCACCCTCTTCTTTTGTATCCCTCCTTCTCTCTCTAATCCCCTTTTAGGCCTCATCACTAAGGCCCTTCATCATTTGTTTTCAACCCACTGCTCCAGCTTCATCCTCTCCCCCCACCTCACACCCTAGGGGCTCCCCGCAGCACCCCCCCCCCCCGAAGTCCCTACTGTTCTCTGAATAATCCATGTCCATGCCTTCCACACTCTCTGGTACCTCTCCCTGGGCTGCTCCTCCACCACCTCAGCCCGGCAAACTCATATTCATCCCTCAAGGCCCCTTTAAGGGGACACCTTCTCCAGGATCCCTGCCCTGACTTCCCAGTGGGATTAATAGCCTCCTCTTCTGAAGTCTTATATTATACACTTCTGCAGGGCCCTCACAAGCCCCGTCACAAGTTACATTCTGCTTCCCATGGCCTTGGGAGCAGGGCCCACGTCTCCTTGAGGGTCACCAAACAGCCAGGGTCTGGCACACTGAATAGTGGTCAAAGGAGTTAATCCTCAGTTGGGGTCTGCCCTGTGGCTTTATTTCAGCTCGCAAGGTCTTATCTTGCCTCACTTTCCTCTTTGACAGCAAAACAGCCTCTGGCTTCTGATAAGGGGCCCTGTGCTGGCCCAGGGCCTGGTATATAACAGCTGTTCAGTGAATGTTCATAGGAGGCAGAAGAGCAAGTGGGCAGAAAGGCCAGAGCCTATAATGGCAAAATCGCTCGTCTCTGGGCTGTGCAGGAAGTACAGGTGTGTGGGGAAGCAGGCCTTTCCTCCACCCCTCCGGAGAACTGGCTGACTGCCTCTCTCAGGCTCCATTTCTGAGAGGGGGGAGCCGGGGAGGCAGAGGACACCGGTGGAGGGGAGAGCGACAGTCGTCCATGCAGCCAGGTGCTCCTCCCAGGAGCACAGGGCTCCTTGCAGGCAGGTACCCCTTGGCCATGATGTGGTGGAGAGGGCCCAGCACAGGGATGCCCACAAATCCCTGCCCCTCTCAGGGCTTCAGTCATCTCATCCGTCAAATGGGTACAGTCATCCCCACCCCACGCAGCTCATCAAAGCCAACAGAGCTGAAAGCACTTTGGAAATAAAGACTCAATGAATTCATTATACAAATAAAGAGGGTGGTTATTAGACCCGGGAGCAGGGTCAGAGGGAGAAACAGCAAAAAGGTGGAGTAAGTGCTTAGGGCTCCTGCCTTGAGCCCTTTGAGGAAAAGAGAAGCAGGTGGCGGGCAGGACGAACAGCACCTACAGGGAGGAGGGAGCTGGGGGCTGGGTCCCGGCTCTGCCACGGACCGTCACTTCCCCCTGGGACTCGGTCTCCTCGCCTCTACAAAGGGGGAGCACAGTCCCTGCCTGGCTCCCTCCAAGGGCCTCAATGCAGCTTCAGTGAGAGAAGAGCTTTGCAAACTATAAAGTGCAGTGCACGCATGCAGGCCAACTGCAGTTCTGGGACCCAGGCCCAGCTGGGCTCTGGGGAGTGGAGATAGTAAGTGCTGGCAAGGAAAACACTGTCTGAGGCCCAGAGGGTCCTTTGAGCACTCTCAAATCCCTAACACCTGTTCCTTCCCCATGCTCCCTCAACTTCCCTGGCATCCTCTGTCCTGGGGTCCGAGAGACTTGACCGTGGGATCATGGGATCGCTGAGGCCTGGGGAGAAGAGGAGCTCCTGCTCTGAACCTGAGGCTGGGGCCATACCGGCCACACCCTCGGCAAGGCTCTGCTGGTGGCCTCTGATACCTGGCGATTAGCAAGAGGGTTTCTTGTGATTAACAAACGCACTCCTGATGGTGGGGAAGGGCCATGGCCCTCGGCCCTCTTTTCCTTGATCAGCACCCTTTCAGTGAGGTCTTATGCACGTCCAGACAGTCTGTCTCTGTGTCAGCTCCATTCCTGGGTGAGGGTTGGAATGACCAGTGGTGAATTCTTCCTTGTAGCACCCCAAGTGGCTGCCAGCCTGGGAGGGAGAGCAGTGCCCGCCTCCTCCTGGCACCCCCAGACCAAGGGGCCTCAGCCCAGCAGAGGCTTGAACCCGGCTTGCCTTGCCCCCTGCGCCGGGTCTCAGCTCCAAAGGGGCAGCGAGAAGAGAGCTGCTGCGAGAGCCGTGGACGGAGCACTTCAGAGCAGCGCCTTGAAGAGGAAGGAGAGGGCGGCCCCACAGGAGAGCCCCAGGGCCAGGAAGAAGGTCATGAGGGTGCCGGCCACCTCCTTCTCGTGCGGCAGCACCTGCCTAGAGCACACAGGAGTAGGAGCTCTTAGAAAATGCCAGGCCAGACCCGGACCCAGCCCCAGTGCCCTCTGCCCTCCTACAACAGGACGCCCAAGTTCTTGTCTGGGCCGACCCATCCTCTGGCTCACTATAATCAGGCCCTTCTCTCTGGACTTCCGTTTCTTGATCTGTAAAATGAGGCCACTGGACAAGGTCACCTCTCAGGTCCCTGGGGTCCAATACTATAGGATTCTAGACTCCACTGCCTTCCCTCTTGACAAAATGTCCCCAACCTGGTCCTCCCTATCACCTGTACTCTCCCTGGATTCTCAACTCCATCGTCTCTAGAGCAAATCGCCCATAAACCTTGCTTTTGATCAAAACCTTAGCTTCCCTTCAACTAAGAATTTGGGGAGTAGCTGGGCCCTAAGGAATGACAGTTCAGTCCATTTATTTCATAGATGGGGAAACCGAGGCCCAGAGAGGATCCCCCAGAACCAATGCCTGGGCTACTTTACTAGGCAGAAAGCTCCCTGTTGGAGGCCTCCTCTCCCTGCTCCTGGCCTGGGGACGGCTCAGCAGTTAAGGCCTGACCCGTCAGGGTGGCCCTAGCGAGGCTTGGAGACAGCTAGCGCTGGGCTGGCGGGAAGCAGAATGGGCCCTCCCTTGCAGGCTGTCCCCCTCAAAGAGCTGGCCCACTTCCCCTCCCCCAGGCCCTCCCCCCGGCCCCCAGACCTGGGTGCCAGGCACATGGTAAGGGACATCAGGTAACCGTTGGAAACGGCAAAGAGCAGCATGAACGTGATGAAGTAGGCGTCCTGTGGGAAGAGGATGGGCAGCCGGGACCTCTTGGGCACGTGGCACAGCATGAAGAGCGGCACGAACAGGACGCGCAGGCAGACCAGCAGGGGCAGCAGCCGGCTGTCCTTGTTCGGCTGCGGCAGAAGCTGGGGTGAGGGTGGTCCCTGGGAGCACGGTCTCTGCTCCAGGGGCACCCCGATAGACTCACCTACCACTTCGCCTGACCTACCCTTCCTGAGCCACTGAGGACCAGCACTTGGGCCTCTGGAGAGCGAGGGGCTGGGCCAAGGCCACCCAGCAATCAAGGACTGGCCTGGGGCCAGCCTCTGCCTCTCTTGATCGCCAACTTGTGCTCTCTCCATGGCAGACCTGGGAGAGGAGTTTGGTTTTCAAACTCGGTTCCTCTGAGCACCCCTGGGGGTTCCGCAGACCCCTTTGGGGCAGATAGGGCTGCTGAATGGGATTGAAAGCTGGGGATCCAGGCCCCATCCTGGTTTGGCTCAGAGCAGCTCCTCTTGGATCTAGTTTATTTGTTTTTTGTTTTTTTTTTTTAAAGATTTTATTTATTTATTTATTTTTCCCCCCAAAGCCCCAGTAGATAGTTGTATGTCATAGCTGCACATCCCTCTAGTTGCTGTATGTGGGACACGGCCTCAGCATGGCCGGAGAAGCGGCACGTCGATGCACGCCCGGGATCCGAACCCCGGGCCGCCAGCAGCGGAGCGCGCGCACTTAACCACTAAGCCACGGGGCCGGCCCTGATCTAGTTTATTTGTTGTGTCTCCTTGGAAGATTTCATTTAAAGCAGCAGCGCCTTGGCTAAAAGCAACCCAAACACTAGGAATCTTGCCCAACCTCTCACGTGGCACAGGAACCCACATAAGTGCCTGTGAACACCGAGGGCTGGGCCCTGGGCTGGATGCTGGGGACAGAGGTCACTTGGACATGGCTTCTGCTTTCAAGGAGCTCACAGTCAAGGCGGGCTTGCATACCTCCAGGGGCCGGGTGCTCACTGCCACTTGATTTGCTGTTCCATCGCCAGACCCGACCCGTTGGACTATTGGGAAATCGCCTTTCTGTGCTCGTTCACACCCTCTGATCCCCAATTGCTTCCTATAAGCATCAGATCACAGCAGCCTAGGTGTGCTCACCCACAGGAAGTAGGAGGTCAGGCTCCGTCCCAGCCAGTCCATGACGTTGAAGAGAAGGAAGCAGCAGATGGGGTTGAAGAACTGACCTGGGAGAGAGGGAGGGCTTGTCCTGGTCTCAACTCCCCTCCTCCCTCTCTCTCCCCTGCACATCCCCTGCCCTGCCCTCTTCTGCTTCCCACCACTCACTCCACTTCCCAGGACTGGTGGAGCTGGTCACCATGGCTGTGATGGCAGGGAAGACGGACAGGGTGACTGTGAAGACCAACACAAGGCACATCGCCGTCAGCCAGATCTGGAAGCCAGAGGCAGGGACGTGAGAAGGTGGGGCAGACCCAGGGCTCAACACTCAGCCCCAACCCTCCTGCCCAAGGGCTGGCCCGGGAGCAGGACCCCTGGGGCCTGGCCCAGCTTTGTCCCCAACCCACTATGACCCTGTCACCTTGGGGTGGAGAAGGTAACAACTAAGACGCCATTCCATTCTAAGAGTCTCTGGGGAGGGCTGGAGAGAGTGGCCTTAGCCCTAGGCATGGTGGTTGGGGGCTAAAGCCAAGCCAAACCTTTCGGAAGACAACAAAAACTGAAGGTTTTCCTGGTTTCTGAGGCTCCTCCGGCTCCAGCTCTGGCTCCTTCTCAGAGTCAAGATCCAGAGTCAGTGCTGCCTTCTGGGGGCTGTTGGGAATTCCATTCTTCTCATCTGGGGCAAGAGAGGAGGGCAGGGTCATGCCTGTGACAAACAGGCCCGATGGAGGGAGATTCCCAGCAGTTACAACAAGTGATGCCCCCCTCCAGCCCGAGGTGCGGGCAAAGAGAATTAAAAACAACGGAAATAGGCTTTGCTACTATTTGTTAAGCGCATACATGTGCCAGGCAGACTTAAGCACCTTAGATGGAATATCTCGGCGCCATTGCTTCACAAATAAAGAAACTGAGGCTCAAAGGGGTTAAGTGACTTGCCTAAGGTCACACAGCTTGGATGTTGTGAAGCCAGGATTCAAACTCAGATGCACTTGGATCCAGAGCTTGCCTGAAACTCTACTGCCTCCCATTTTATAGATGAGGAAAATGAGGCCCAAAGGGCGACAGGGATGACTTCAGTCCCACTGACTTCCCTTCCCTCCTGCCTCTGCTCACACAAGGCTACTAGGGGTGAGGGCTCTAGGTGGGGACAGAGGGAAGCGCTTTCCTGCCGAGGTGGCTCTAGCCTGCTCTGGATATTCACCTCCCCAGCAGGGTCCCGGGCTCACCAGACTGGAGGAGCTCAGCTTTGGTCTCCATCTCCTGCCCCCGAGCCTGCAGTGGTTTCTTGGCCAGGTAATAGCGGGCAAACTCCTGCAGAAGGAAAGCATTGGCCCTGCCTCACTTGGCTGAGGTGTCCGGATCCCTCCCCACCCTGGTGGCTTCCAGGCTGGGGTCCCCCCATGGCTGACTCCTTTGAGGATTGGGACCCTCCGCCTCCCCTGGCCTCTCTCAGGGCCTCAGACTCAGGCTGTATCCAAGATGCTCTGAAGCGGGGCCTTGAACCCAGTACCAGGCTCACCAGGTTGGGCAGGCTCAGGTAACACACGATGGACATGAGGACGCCCACGCAGGGTGTGATGAAGTACCCCAGGGCGGAGGTCTGGGCATCCACGCCACCTGTGCAGAAACTTCAGCTGCAGAGGGGAGGTGGCTGGTCCCACTGGCTCCCACAGAGATAACAACTCCTGTCCCACTTCTGGTTAAGCACCTCTCAGGTTCACCTTCCGGCCTCTTCCACTCCTCTCACTGACAAACTTGGAAATCTTGTGTAGGGTCCCAGCCCAGCCCCTCACTTCTCTTACTCTGCCCTATGTGTCAGTTTTTTGAGCGCCTACTATTTGCTCATTATTATTGCATACTCCTTACACTCTGAGGAGGGAGGTACAATAATCAGTTAGGTGGGCAAACTGACACAGGTTAAGTGCCTTGTCAATTCCCCTGGCTAGGGAGCAGTAGAACTGGGACTCAGACCCAAGTCTATGTGAGTCCCAAACCTGTGCCCGCTTCCCTCCACCTCAACTCCTGAGGCCACATACCAGCACTGGCCTCAGGAATCTTGCCCCTGGCCCCAAGTTAACCCAAGCCTCGCCTGGCCATTCTCGCACTGCAGAACCCAAGAGCCCTGCTCCCTACCTCCAGACCCAATCCCCAGCCCCCATCACCCCGACACCTCCATCTCCACCTAGAACCCAAGGCATCTCACTCCTGGCACACTCTCCCTGTACCCCAGAGTCACAGAGGCCACCCCTGCCCTCCAGCTGCCCAAGTCCACTTACTGGCCATGGACATGAGCATGGCAAGGGCAGCGAAGATCCCAGCCAGCCCCTGGCCACTGAGGAAGAGGGTGCTGTAGGTGGAAGGCATGGTGCCCAGCTGCCCGAAGAGGCTGCCCTGCAGAACTGCAGAGAAGGCTGTGGATGGACAAGAGTGGGGGTCGCCACTCAACTAGGCAGGCCTCAGGGGCTCCCTGGAGGAGGTGGCGGCAGGGTGCACAGGGGACTCTGGACTAGGTCTGGGCACTCTGGTGTAACACTCCCCATCGACCCTTCTTCTGAGGTGCAGCCACAGGTCTATGGGGCTAGGGGCCAGGAGGCCTGCTCTTAGGTCACTGTGGGGCCTGGGACAAATTACTTTTCCTCTCTCTCTGGGCCTCAGTGTCTCGTCAGGGATATGGGTGGTGATGGTGCTATCTTCCCTTCTTGGATATGTGGGGCCCTTTCTGTTACCAAGAGGCTGGGCTGAAGCCCTGGGTGGGCTGGGTGGGGAGGCGGGTAGGGGCAGCAGTGCTCACAGTTGATGAACCAGACGGAGGCCATGGTGATGGAGAAGAAGGGCCCAGGGCTCATGTCCACCTTGACCAACGCCGCCGTCAGGGTAAAGAGCAACAGGATGACCAGCAGGCTGCCCAGAATCCGAACTGTCTCAGGGATGCTGCTCATTAGGGGTGCAGAGTGGGTATCAGCTGGGCCCAGGCCGGGCAGGGGGACATGGGCCAGAGGTTCAGCCCAGGGCTGGACACTGGGGGCTGGGGGGAGATGCAGGGGGAGAGAGGAAGGATGAGAGGACTTTCCTGGGCCCCGAGGAAGCTGCCTCAGCAGGGGTGGGGGAGGGACGACAGAGGGATGGCCCACAGAGGGATGGCCGGGGAGGGAGCCTGGGGGGTGCCTCTCACCACTGATACAGGAAGGAGTTGAGGAGTGTGAAGAGCAGCAGCGGCAGCTGGGACAGCAGAGTCACCCAGTTGTTGAAGTTGAAGGCGTCTGCGGGGCCCGTGTGGTTGGCGCCCAGGGTCCCAGTGGTGCTGTTGGCCCCTGCTAGCCGCCCCTGGAAGTACTGCCAGGATGCCGGGGGAGAGGGTACAGGTCACCCTACAACCTACCCTCAGGGACCCCCAGCCTTCCCCCTCGGCCTCCCGCATGCTTGGGACTGCTTGGTTAATGTCTGCGGGGACTGTCTGTGTGTCCTTGTCCTGTTCCCAGCACCTGGCACACAGTCGGAGCTCCATGAATGTGCACTGAACTGAACGGCTGAAGTCTGGGACAGAGCCCAGGCCCTGAGAGCCCCTAACCCGGGCCTTGCTCCATCTTTAGATCACACCTCCTCTTCAGTGCCCAGGTTCCAGCCCCCACCCCCACTCCTGCAGCAGCTTCTAGATTCCTGAGTGTTCACTGAGCGCCTACTGTAGCCAGGCTCTGGCCCAGGTGCTGACCAACTGCATTCTCTCTAGAACACATATTCCGTCACGCCTCTGCTTAACCTCCCCCTGCCCCCCGCCCATGGCTCCCTATTGCCTGCAGGGCAAAGCCCCGAGGTTTTGGAACAGCATTTGGGGCCCTTCAGAACCAGACCCCCACCTCCCTTTGGTGCCCTGTCTCCTGCTCCGTCCTGCTAAGCTCCAGGCACCCGAGGCTCTGGCTCCTTCTCTGAACAGGCTGGCACTCCCCTGCCTCAGTGCCTTTGCCTAGGCAAGCCTGCCATCTCCACCTGAAATGCCCTCCCCCTTCCTACCACTACCCATCCCAATACAAACGCTTTACCTATATCCTTCTCCTAGGTTACAAATCACCTCCTCTATGAAGCAGAAGGAATTGCTCCCTCCCCTGGGGACCCACAGGACTCTGCTCCACTTGAAATGGCACGTGTCATGCTACATTATTAACAGCTCTTTGGCACCCATCTTGCACTCAAGACCAGGGGCTGATTCATCTTTGGGTCTCCAGGCACTGAAGAGGCATCTGGAAAGTTGTTGCATTGAATATATATGAATAACCTAGTCCCAAAGAGAACGCAGCCCCACATTTCTGCCTTCCCCTGAGAGAATATAAGCCCCGGCGGGATGGAGCCTTCATCTGTTATATTTCCTCCTGTCCCTCCAGTGCCGGGAACATGGCCTGGTCCACAGTAGGTACACATTAATTATTTGTTGGATGAATGAGTGTAATTTGTGCTATTTCAAAGAAACCCAAAAGCTTGGGTAACCCACTTTTGGAGTGACTATCCCAGGAATAATGACAAACAGGGGTGGTGGGTGGGTAGCTCATTGCTGGTTCTACAGGACTTTCTAAGATGGTGACCTTGTCCCTCTGGGATCTGGGCATCTCTGAAAGCTTGGCCTTCCCTAGCCGCGAGAGGGGCACCTCCCCTCTCTGAGGCTCCCGACTGCAGCCATACAAACAGGCATAATGAGGAGTCAAAGCCGGCGTGGTGGGGAGAGCCCCTGGGATGCCCCAGGTCCAAGGCGGCTGCAGGGACAGATGCTGGTAGTGACCGTGGGCTGTCTGTCCAGCCGCCAGTCTCACCGGGATGGCAGTGATGAAGAAGTTCCAGGGAAGGAGAGTGCCCAGGCCCAGGATGAAGAAGCTGATCCCGACCAGGTGGTAGCTGTGGGGATCAGTCAGAAGGTCACCCCGAGGACGCACCGCCTCTGCCGCCCCTCCCGATTCCCAGGCCTCCGTCTCCGGAGAGCGGACTACAAGCCCCATCACCGCGGCTCAGGCAGCCAAGGGAGGCGGCTCATGGGAGCTGTAGTTCCATTTGGTTTGCTTTGCGCCTTGGAGAGCCCAAAGGGAGCGGGTCTGCGCTGCCCACGGCCACCCGGATCCCCGTACGCACCCTACCCGGTCCCCAACTCGCCTGTCCTGCGGTACATCTCCTCGCGCCATGGCCGCCCAGCGGGATGCGCCCCGGTGGGAGGAGGTGGAGTGCCGCACCTGCACCTGCGCCGGGGCCCGAGGGCGGGAGGACTCCGGAGGCTGGTTCTTGCCGGCGGTGGGCAGAGGGAGGGGGGTCGGGTCTCCCAGGAAGAGGAGGCGTTGGCGGGAACGAGGGAGGGAGCCCCGGGCGGATTGGGGCGGGTCTCACGCTCCGCGGGCTCGGACCTAGGCTCCGCCCCCGAGGCGGGGACAGAGGTTCGCACCACCCCTCCCGGCTTCCCGCCGGCAAGGACTGCAGACTCTCGCATCGGAGCCCAGCCTGACCTCCAGTCCGGGACCCCACGGCTCCCCGGCCGCCTGGTGCAGCTTAGAGGTGGCTGACTCGGGAGGGTCACCCTGCTGCCTCACCTCTCCGCGGGCGCGTGTCCCTGACCCCTGCGGGCGGGTTGGCGTAAGGCAGTGGGGGGAGGTACCCCCCTCCCCCAGCCGAGGCCCCTGGACCAACCTGGCGCGGTGTTCTGCCCGCTCCACCAGCTCGGAGGTGGTGCCAGACCCCGCTAGCCAGAGCCCACCGAGGGTCCGGCTCGCCGCGCGCCTGTGGAGCCCCAGCCTAGGGTGTAACCTGAGCGGGGCTGGCGCCCGGGGAAGCCAGAGACCGTCTGTCGCCTGCGGTCCTGGCAGGCTGCGCCGAGCTTGGTGCTTCGGGAGGCCGAGGAGAGAGCCAGGTGCCCGTGCTGGCGGAGCCCCCAGGCCAGCCTGGAAGACGGACGGACAGACGGACCCTTCTCCTCCAGCTGGTGCCTGAGGAAGCGCCGGGCCTTTGGGGCGCACAGCGGAGGCGTGGGCCCTGCTGGAGGTCTAGGCCGGCTTCCTGGTGGCGGTGAGGCTGAACTGCATCCGGAGCAGTGAGGGGTTAAGCAAAGGCTCCGGAGGAAAGGGTGACCCGGAGGTGAGCCCAGGCCCTCTCCCCAGCCTTGTCTCGTGCCCTCCCTCCACCAACGCTTAAAAAAAAAAAATTACTTTCGGCGGTCCCAGGTCACATCACATCAAAAATATTAAGATACACCCAACGTTCCACTTTTTTTTTTCAGTGAAGAACTTTGAAAAGATTATAGACCATTGCAATTTTGAAATTAATTTGCTCTAACTCATGTAATTTACGAGTGGGTTTGTGTTCTCTGCAATCACCGTTCGTATAGCGGATGCTGGAGAAGTGAGAGGCTCTGTCACAAATTATTCTCATAAGTAATTAAATTTTATGGCCACTTCCAGGTTACTTGTGTTTTTTTCTCCAGCCTGCTGTGAGTCTGTGGGGCAAAGGCTGCTTGTCTGGTTCAGCGTTTTATTATTGCAAATGTCCAGCGCCGCTGCCCGGTCCGTAGCACGTGCTTGATTTTATAAAGGCTTGGTGAATAAATGGATTGTCATGATGTACGAGTGAGTTTAGAGAGAACAGAGACGGCATTAAATTACACTGAAAGAGAAAGTTATTCTCTTTTCATTTTGCTTTCAAGCCTTCGGAATACATCGAGGGGGAAGGTCTCAACTCGGAGCCAACATGTTTCTAAAACCTGTTAATCTCTCTCCCTCTCTCTCCAACAAAGAGCTGGCCTCGGGGCTTCTGACAATTTTATCTAAATAGACGTTAATAAACTTTTATGTTCCTTCTCTCTGTTTTTATAGTTGCTTTATTTTTAGGGCTACTTATGCTAGTTTCTTATTTATGATAATGATATACGTTTTTCTTTGAAAAATAAAATTATGCATAATTTAATAGACGCTTATAAACTGATTAAAATTAAATAAAAATGAAATATAATTAA